CTCTATTTATATTTAAGACACAAGTTGAATTTGTATTAGCATGTAACAGTAATGTGGAAAAATTTCCATATCTTGAAGTTCTTCCAAATTTAACAAACTTAAAATTAAGTTTGTTAAATATAAATCTGGACTAATTCGAAAAATAATCTTAAACAATAATTAAACTATAACTCTACATTAACAGTAATAGGAAAAAGTTCCATATCGTGAGGTTCCTCCAATTTAGGTCAAGTTTCTTCCATTTTAGGCATTTTGGGTCTCCCTGCACTTGCACACGCACACGTACAATACTTGTTAAAATAGATGAGCAACGTTACAAGGAAATTAATGACGAGGGATAGGACCATAACTGCTAATGTTATAAACCAAATCAGAGGAAGGTTGAAGAAGCCACAGCTCACACTAAGCCCGGATGCTTTGGCTGCCAAAGATGGAATGTAATACAATGGTCCAAAAATTAACTTTAGCAAAACAATAATCTGATATATAGGATCTAGTGAACCGACTAGCAACCAAATCAGCGTATAGTAAACTATTATGGAAGTCGCATCAATAATTTCCAGAATGAATTTATCATATATTTTATCCAAGTTCAGCAGTGTTGATCCAGTGTTTCCCAATGTCAAGACCGAACTGAGCAATTAATTTATCCGCCTGAACTTTAAGAAAAGCAAAACATAACCCAATCATTATCCAATGAATATGGGGAGGAATGCTCAATATACTTCTCCATATGAAAGGAAAAACTTCGAAGAAGCTTGACGGCAGGGTATTCACGTAAACATTTTTAGTAGGTGCCTGGCAAAAGCAAGAAAAACCCGATCAGATATAGTTCTTTTCTTTTCTTTTCTTTTGTCTTAAAATCTTGAAGATTTGCGCTACTTTCTTTCTAAATCTGGAAGATTTAGAAGGTATATTACTGACTTATTAAAGATAGTTTCTTGGAATAGAAATCAGTAAAATTGGTCCTGTTTCAATGACTAAAAAAAAAAGCTTCATAGAGTAATGAATTTACTAAGATGTTATAATAAACAGGTAGTATGATTGGGCCATAGGCTTTCATTACTTACAAAGAAACTTCAAAGACGGAGAGAGGAGACGGAACAATAAAAACAAGTTAGAGAGAGACACTGTGTAAGTTCTCCATAATTTGCAGGAAAATTTGTAAAAAAATTTCTGCGAATATTTTTTTCAGGAAAATTCGTAGGAAAATGATACTTTTCTAACCGTGTTAGTGTGTGTTTGGTTTATCATTTGAAATTCATTCATCGGATTTTTACACATTCCAATACACAAAAAAAAAAAGTAACTCTTTTGTTTCATTCGATTAAAAGTAAGTTAAGTTGAATGTAACTTTTTTCCAAACACACCTTTAGTAATCGTTTAGTTTGTTTTCATTAATATATTTTATTTTAAAGTATTGTTAGTATAAATATTATGTATCTAGACAAATAATATGTCATGCTAATGTTATGATTCAAATTAATTGATTATATATTACACTACTAAAATTATTTATTAGTGTAGATATATAATTACCTAAAAGTTCAACTATCAGTAATTAATTTAATGTGTGTTTGTTGTACATTATTCAATTAGAATCTATAACATGAGATGTAACCAAGATACCTAAGAAATTATGTATACTAGTAATAGTTAAACCTATCTTAATTAGCTTTTAGCTTCGTGCTATATATAGTGTATCAACCAAACGTGTACCATGAACAAGAGTTAACATAAGGGACTCATATAATAATACTGAATTTTTCAGTCATTGTTAAAGTTGGTGATTATTTGACGTCCTTATTATTTCCAATTATAGAACCCCCTACAATCATTAAAAAGCATAAACTTCCAGGCTACGGGTGAACGTATTTAATTAGTACCATGCCAGTATTATCGAGCATCAACCCTTTTCGATTGTGTCCCAATTTCTCTTTCAAAACTCTTATTTATATAACAAATTTTACAATAAAAAGAGAAATAAAGAAAATAAAGAAGTTTCAAATGTAATAAATGAAATAATAGAAAGATAGTTATATAATAATAATAAATGTTGTATATACTATTGTAATTAATTATTAGCATTTTGACTCTCTTTTTTTCGTCATGGAATATCCACTGTCGATAGCAGTGACTAATCTCCTCGTTACGTTAGAGGCATCTTAAGGGGTAGGATAGCTCGCTCCAAGATTTAATGCGGCTGCATACACATGACAGGATTTGAACTCTGACCTTACTTAAGTGTGAATTAACTCCTACCACTAAACTACACGCTTGGGATTTCATTTTGACGTAATATTTCCCTTCTTTTTGCACTCATGCATTATTCTAATTCCTAAAAGCACTTCAACGATTAGGATTAGTGTAAATACTAAATACTAAATAACACAATCACATTTAAGCCTTATTAAGTCCATATATGCATCCTTTTGATCTCCTAAGATCGCAGGAGAATAGCTGTTAGGGGCTCCACATTTTATTTCCTATTATTCGAATTAAATATCAAAAGGGGTTGGTACACGTGTGGTTTAGCTAATTAAAGATTTGACCATAGTTGTTTTCTGTCATTAAGAAAATTGATAATTATATTTGTGGTTAATTATATTTTTGCGCCGTTAAAAATTAAAAGCCCAACCTTAAGATAAATAGGCCCCTCTGTAGAGAGAGAGAGAGAGAGATAGGCCCAGAAATTAAAAGCCCGATATGAAAAAAGATAAGCCCGATCTTAATCCTTGGGCTTGTCCTCTGGTGTTATTAACAAATTAATGTTACCTCCCTCCTTATCGTACTAACATCGAGATTATATCTTAAACTTAAAAATTACAATATTATTTAAACATTTGGAAAAAAAATACTAATAATGTATAAAATAAAAAAGAAAGACTTAGATATATTTTTTTAATTCATCTAAATATGTCTTTGTCTCATTTTAGTTATCGTAAAAAGAAAAAAGCTAATTTTAAATTCTTCGCAATTTTTTACTGTTCTTTCGATTCTTATCATTTGTTTTGGTTACATAAAATTTAAGTTAGGATAAGGCAAGATTTTAAGTAAGACTAAAATTAATTACCATTCTCTTTGAAGATTTTTAGTTTGTTAAATATGAATTTATTATTTTAGTTCTTGTAATTTCAAAAAATCTTATTTTAATCATTTTAATCAAATTTTAATAGGAAATCAATCAAATACTTTTACATAAAATTTATCTACCGATATTTCAGTTGGTAAAAATATTACATTAAATTCAATTAATGTTGTATAATTATCTCAATATATCATATTCAGATATATTATTAGTAACTTAATAAACAAAAATAAGATTTTTTTAAAATTATAAAGATTAAAAATAACTATTTTAAATTTAAAGAATAAAAATAAATTCTTCTTAAATTTAAGGGAAAAAACATTTTTGAACTATAAATAATATATGAATGGAAGTCCTAATAGATAAGAATTTTTAGACTTGAGACTTCTTATGAAACAAGTCAACAACTTGATGCCAACGACATATGCTGTTGTAATCATGCAAACCATTTTTTTTTCGTTTTTGGGAAATGCAATTTACCATTTATGTTTACACCTCATTCAAATTTTGTATGAAAATTTTGAAAATTTTGTTATAGGTACCATATAGATAATTAGAATTAAAAGTTAATGATTATAAGGCCAAATTATTATTTTTGGCTCTGTATTGTTTTTTTTAACTAGTCTAACTTGGTCTTCTATTATTAAAATGTTGAATATGTGTTTTTAATTATCAAAATATATGCATCGATGACCTATTTATTTTGAATTATGTAAAACTTGCTATTATTTTCTGTCCCAAATATATGTAAAGTTCAATTAATTTGTGTTCAACAAATTTGTTACATTATACTCAATGTGATCGTTTCACTTACCCCTATGTTATTTTATAGAAAAAAGGGGCGTTTTATATCTTTATATATTTTTATAAATTGCAAAAATAAGGAAAAAGAGGTAGTAGAGATTAAATTAAAAAAATTGAGAGAGTATGAGAAAGTAGTATACTGTTTGAGTTGGCAATTTTGAGATAGTTGGAGGGGTGAGAAATAGTCTTAATAAAATGTATATGTGAAAACAAGAAAGCTGCCTGAAAGATTTTTAAAATGATTCTTTTCATGAATATATGTATCTATCCATTAAAATGTATAGGTATTAAAAGATGAATATACATGTATCTTTTTATTAAAATGTATAGATATGAAAAGTTGTATTATTTTTTTTTTATAAAAGCAAGTGTTTTTTCATGAAAAGATACATTTATTCATGAAAATATGTAAGTGAAAAATGTCATATCCTTAAATGAAAGTATGTATTCTTTCATTAAAAAAAAAATTCTTTTTTCACCAAAAGTTATAAGATGTGACATTTTAGTCAAAAGTTAAAAAAATATGATCCTTTATCACTATTCATAAGATATATTTGTCTGAAAATTGCAATTTTTCACTATATATATATATATAAAAGCGAGAGTTTATAAATAAAACAAATTAGTATGCAGAAAAATAAAAATAAAAAAATAATAGAAATACATTAATTTATTATTTTTAAATCACTTCTTATTAGAAGGAGAGATGTATATTAACTAAAGATAATATTACAATAATATATAAATAAGAAATAATATTCATTTTACGAGTCAATTTTATAAAATTCAGTCGATTTAAATTTAATGATTGTCTTAAACATTAATACTATTTTACTTTTCTTTTTCTTTTTTGTTTTGTTTATGATTTTTAGTATTTGATAGTCATTTTAAATTTTGACTAATCTATGAATTGAATGGATTATAGATTTACTTGAAAATCATTAGATAAAAATTAGTAAAACATTACAAAAATAATTTGTGTAATTATTTTTAGACCGACTCTTTTAGTTTAACATATTTAAAATTTCACAAGTTTTCGCCTTACCATTTCGTTTTGATTAATAACTTTCTCATGTTACAAAATTTCTTACCAAACATTACAAGTTACTCAATAATTTGGCATGTTACTACTCTATGTAATGTATATAACACAACCTTTTAGCTCCCCCAAGGATTTCTTACAATTGCTGCAAAATCTAAGTACTATCCCCCGAAACAAAAGCGATTCTAGTCAGTCTCCTATACTATGTATTATGATACTAAGTTGTTGATATCTTCAATGTTTCACCCTTCTCACTACGCAATAGAAAAAGTTGAGCATTTCTGAGCACATTGTTCAATTTAACTATTAACTACACTTCACTGATACTATGAGACGGGCCTTCATTGTAACATGGTATTTCACCCTTACATTTGGTAACTGAAGTTGCTTCCTGAAGCATTTTAACCACTTTTCTCATTGTAGGGCGAGCTGTTGGAACGAAAGTGGTACAATGAAGCCCTATACTCAATACCTTGTTGATTTCTTCCCTGTATTTGGAGTCCAATGTAGGATCAATCACATGATCCAGTCCTTCATGTTCCAATGCAGAGGAAACCCATTTCACCAAATCATTCTCACCATACTCTTCTGGGTCAATAGGGGGTCTTCCAGTTACCAACTCCAAAATGACCACGCCAAAGCTATATATATCACACTTCTCATTAACCCTCAGAGTATAAGCGTATTCTGCAATCAATGAAGTAGCAAATGTTAAGAAAAACATGCATATTGCAGAAGTTTGTAGGAAAAAAGTTGTTGTAGTTTTACCTCAATAATACACATTAACATTTAATGAAATCCTGTATACATATATTATCAAGGTAAAACTTCAATTTTGATTATTGGATGTAGTTTTACCTTTGTAAACTAAGTCAATTTCATTTCTATCTAGACAGAAACAATGAAATAGTACCATGGAGACAAATAGAAGCAAAGCACAAACATGAACTAATGCACACAGTTTAAGCTTTCATGTGCCATGTTGTTAATTTAAGAATTTAATTGGAATGCTCTTCTTAACTTAATTTCACAAACCTGGTGCAATGTAGCCATAAGATCCTGCAATCCCAGACATTGTTTGTGTCCCTTGGCTGAGTCCAGTAACCATTTTGGCAACTCCAAAATCTGCAACTTTTGCCACAAACTCCCCATCCACCAAAATGTTGTTGGATTTGACATCTCTATGAACAATGGGAGGGACACAGTCATGGTGCAAATAAGAAAGCCCCTCAGCAGCATCAAGAGCAATTTTATGCCTGGTTGGCCAATCCAACAAGCTCTTCTTTCTATCCTTTAACAAATTAGCCAAGCTCCCATTTGGCATGTATTCATATACCAAAAGCCTGTGATCCCCACTGTTGCAGCAACACCACAACCTCACAATATTCTTGTGCCTAATCCTCCCCAGCGTCTCAACTTCTGCATCAAATTCATCTTTCCCCGAACCAACTCTTTCATCAACATTCCTAGGTGCTCCACACAATTTCTTCACAGCCACCACCTCACCATTGCTCAACACCACCTTATACACCTTCCCAGATGCTCCACTTCCTATCACATTGTCCTCACTCAGTAATTTACCAACCTCAAACTCACTAAACCCAAGCTTGTGAAACGACTTCCACCTCGAAGTGCTGAACCTTTTCTTCGGTTTCTTCACCTTCTTGAACCTAAAGTAAAACCATGCCACCCCGATAATGAACACAACTCCAGCAAACACAAACATGGACCCCAAAATCCACTTATACCTCCAATTCCTACTCTTACCAGAACAATCAGAAAGCCCAAAAAGATGACCACAGAGGCCAGGATTCCCTATAAAACTCGTCTTATACTTGTCATTGGCATAAAGGGGAGGAATATCCCCAGAAAGCTGGTTGTAAGACAAATTCAACTCAGAAAGCTTCAAATTCTGCAAATGCAACGGAATCTCCCCAGAGAAATTGTTCCAAGAAAGATCAAGATAATTAAGCAAAGGCAAGCTTCCTAATTCACTTGGAACACTTCCATTTAACCTATTATTTGACAGATTAATGTCAGTGACCTTACTCCATTCACCAATTCCACCAAAAAGCTCTCCAGAAAGCTGATTATAACTAAGATCAACATTAACCAACTGGCTCAACTTCTTCATACTCCCCGGAATCCAACCCGAAAAATTATTATTACTAGCAGCAAACTCCACAAGGCTATCCAACAACCCAATTTCCTTAGGAATCGACCCAGAAAACCGGTTATTCGAAAGCAACAAATTTGACAAATTGTAAGCACCAGAAATAGCCTTGGAAATGTGCCCAGAAAGAGAATTATCCAAAAGCTCAAGCAAATACAAATGGGGCAAACCCCAGAACCCATCAGGAACACTTCCAGAGAGGTTATTGTTCCTCAACCGAACCCTCTTCAAACTCTTGCAACCCCCGAGACTCGCCGGAATTTCCCCGGAAAACGAATTGTATATCAGGAGCAGCTCCTCAAACTCCCCCCGCCGACAGAGGTTCGCCGGAATCTCCCCGGAAAACGAGTTAAACGAAACATCGATGTGGTTCAACGGCGAGTTACTCCCCAAATCACTCGGCAACGTCCCAACGAGTTTGTTGCTAAACAATTTGAGTTCATAAAGATTGGGAGAACGCGCAATAACCCTCGGCAAAGAGCCTTCGAGTTTGTTCTCATATAAGTTCAACGACGCGAGTGGCAACTCGCACAACTCGGCGGGAATCGTCCCAGTCAACTCGTTACTCGACGCGTCGAAGAATTTCAAACTCGTCATGTTCGACATTCCTTCGGGCAAGTCCCCAGAGAGGTTGTTTTTATAAAGCTCGATTTGGTTCACGCGCTTGAGGCGCGTGAGCCACCGTGGAACGAAACCGGTGAGGCTATTCTGCGACAAGTCGAGGTTCGTTAAGCCAACGAGGTTACTGAGAGACTCAGGAATGGGTCCCACAAGGTTGCAGCCAGCGAGAAAGAGCGTTTCGAGTTCGGTGAGGTTGCCGAGTTGACTCGGTATTCGACTAGGCGAGAAAGGGTTATAAGCGAGTTGAAGGTGTTTAAGCGAAGCGAGGTTTCCGAGAGAGGAGGGGATGGTTCCGCTGAGAAGGTTGCTCACAATGAAGAGGGATTCGAGGTGAGGGAGTTCTCCAAGGCTCGCCGGAATGTCGCCGGTGAGGTTGTTGCCGGAGAGGTCGATGTGGCGGAGGGGGGTGATGGCGGCGAGGGACGGCGGAATGGGGCCGACGAGGTTGTTTTGGGAGAGGTCGAGGTGGCGGAGGCGGCTGCATGCGGCGGCGTCGGCGAGGGTGGAGTTGATGAGGTTGAAGGAGAGAGTGAGGGCGGAGAGGGAGGGGAGGCGGCAGAGCACGGCGGGGAAGGGGCCGGAGAGGCCGAGGTTTGAGAGGTTGACGGCGGCGACGGCGGCGGTGAGAGGGTGGCAGGAGACTCCGCGCCACCGACATGGGGTGGCGGCGGAGGCGTCCCACGAGGAGAGGGCGTTTTCCGGGTCGGAGAGGCGGCGCCGGGCTTCAAGGAGGAAAAGGCCGTCTTGGGTTAGAGAGAGAGAGAGAGGAGAGAGAAAGAGAAAGAGCCACAGAACAAACACAAATATCATGGTAATGATAGTGTTTCTTCTGTTCGGAGTGTTCGTTTGTTTTGTTTCACTTCTTTGTATATTTGTGACTGTTAGTATATTTGGAAGAAGGTGGGTCCCACCAACTCTTTCTGTCTTGGATTTGGAAAATCTTAATCGGATCGAAACTCGAAAAGTGTCGCACACGAGAATTTTCACCTTTCTTCTGCATGTTTGGGTTCTGATCAATAACGGTAACGCTTTGAGTAAACATCACCCTCCTCCAAATAATGGTACCTGTTCACGATTCTTGTTGCGTTGTTCCTTCTTTTCTGTGTCTGATTCACGGTTTTAGTTCAACTTTACTAAGAGGTTCAGTTAAAGAATGACTAAAGGAGTGTGAACACTGAACATGTTACCAGGAGTTACGCAGAAGTTGATAGAAAATGTTATGGAGTTACATTTTGGTTAAGACACGTAAAACTAACTACAATTAATAATTTAAGTACAATGTATTTAAATTCACATTAGTTTTGATCTGATTGAATCAGTGATATGCACTTGGTTTTAATTTTTACTATTAGTAGGGTGTTTTTGATTAAAGTTTGACATATGTTAATTTGGATAGTTAATTATTTGCCTTGTGGGTGTGTCTGGTAATAAATTGCATTCAATAATGCAGTGTCTGATTTATGTATGTTTGACTGGACCAGGAATTAAGATAGGACGAAGATGGTAGTGCAATTATAGTAGAATTGAACTTCAATTATTTGAGGGGGAACAAAAGGTGTTAGGGAGTTTTTGAGTTCATTCACCTAGGGAATGAGCGATGTTATAATTATTATCTAAAGGACGACTAATTAGTAGTTATTTTTATCTGAAGAATTCCTTCATTTTTGTTTATTTGTTTAATTTTAAAAAATAAATATTTTTTAAAATTATACTATTAGAAATACCAACAAGATTATATAGTATAGTATAGGGTAAAGATATTTATTTATGTGAGAAAATATTCTATACCTTGTAGTATAAAGAGTTTTTACATTTTCATTTGATTATAAATTGACATGAATGGTAAGTTTTTTACCTTTTCAATATGGGAAAAGTTATGTGTAATTTTGTATTCATTGAAGACTATACATGAAAATTAAACTTTATTTTATTAAAATTATTTATGACTTCTTAGTTTCTTTTATTTATAATAAATAAAAATATTTAATATTAAATGGAGATAAATATGTAATTAAAATGTAATGCTTGTAATCAATATTATTTTAAAAATTTAAATAAAAAATTGTTAAAAGAGTGACCAAATAAATAAATATATATATATATATATATAAGAAAAGTGTAACCTACAAGGATTGGAGCTTATGGTATGCCTAAAAAATTTATCTTGAAAATCAACAAAATTGAAGTGCAGTACTTCAATAATATGTTTAGAAATTAAGTTTTGAAAGAAAAAGAAAAATAAAAGGATAATTTTTTTTATTTTTAATATTTATATTTGTTGCATGGATTGTTGAAATAAAATAATATTACTGTTGTGAATTGGACTGACACAATATTACTGTTAGTAATCAACATTTGGTCAAAACTCAAGTACACAAGGTCCAAATGTTTCAGAGAGTTTTGACGCAAGGTCAATATATGAGTATATTAATTTTATACTCACTTCAAAGTGATGTATAAATTGACTATAAGAAGCTTGAACGTTGTTTTTTTTATCGGAAAAAATGGTATATAAAGGATGATATTCCATGATTATTGAATAGAGAATTAATAACATGCTGAAAGTTAATCAAAGTTTAATAATATCTAATTTAATTCAGAATTTTAGCTGTCAAATTGAGGGTTAATAAAGATTTACCAAAAAAAATTTACCTTTATCGTTAAAAGATTTTTTAAGTAAAAATATCCAAAAAAAAGGGATCTCTTTAAATAGCCTAGGACGTTCAACAAATTGAACTAAAATCTTAAGCACATATATGTGCATCAACATCGCTAACATTACATTGAGATAATGTTTAGAGGTTTTATATAAAAATTATGAAAATGATCTATTTAATAAATAAAAATATGTTTAATTTTAGTATGTGTGAAAACTTTTTGATTCACACCAATGATAGAATCACGAAATGAACTTATCTTTTATGTTAGTAAATTAATATATATATA